GGGGGAAGGAGTGCATTATTTCACTGGGAGGGGTAGTAGTGTTCCAAGGCGGGTGGGTGTAATATTTCCAGGGGTATTATTGGGCAAGTATTATTTGGAAGGGTGTATTATTCTACCGGGTGGGTGTGGGAAGGAAGGGTGGCGTGAGGGGTGGGGATTTTTCACAGCAGTATCATTTCGGTGGCAGAGCCATATTTCATGGGCTGAAGCATTGTTATTTTCCAGGGGTGGGGGAGTATTATTGGGGGACAATTACTTCGGAGGGGGGGGGGAAATTCTTATTTCTAGGGGGGAGTATTATTTTGATGGGGGTGCAGGGGCAGCAGGAGTATTATTTCACAAGGGTATATTCTGAGGTCGGAGCATCTCCACATGATTATCTGCTGGGGGACTTTTTAGAGGGGACTATTTTACAGGAAGTGTTTCAGGGGAGGGTATTTGAGGGGATCATTTCAGGGGGGGCAGTATTGCTGGGGGTCGGAATTTTAGGGGGGAGTATTTTAGGGCAGGAGTGGTGTGGAGAAAGAGCGCCAAGGCAGCGATGGGGAGCAGGGTGGGGGGATCAGCAAGGAGAGGAGGCAGCACGGAGGCATCTAAAGAGAGGTGAGCAACAGGGAGCCCGACAGCAGGAGACGGCTGCAGAAAAGAGAGACAGGCGGTAGGATGCTGGCCTGGAACCAACAAGAGCAACAGAGAGGACAGAGGTGGAGCATGAGAGAAGGCAGGAAGAGAGAACAAGAGAGAGAGATGAAGCCACCAACAGTCGAGACAGGGAGCAGCACAGAGGGTCTGAGAGAGGGCGAGGTGAACAGGGTGGAGGACGGGGACAGGGAGATACAGGAGCAGGGGAGGCCTGAGTGAGGTCACAGGATAGAGGCAGGAAGACAAGGAGGGAGGGAAATAGGGAGGCAGGGATATGGAGCGGCAGACAGGCACGGCGAGGATGAGAATGCCAGGGAACAGGTCAGAGAAGTTGTGGGCAAAGAGACCCCAAAGCCGATCTGAACCAAGAAGTGGAAAAGGAAAAAAATAGTGCTAGGCTACAGGAGGGAAACAGAGGATGACAAAAAGGAAGGAGAGGGAGCAGGACCAAGGCATCTAGAAAAAAGATAAAGGGAAAGCCTGAAGAAGACACAAGAGGGAGTTGGAGCAGGGAAGAAGGAGAGTAGAGGTAAAGGGAAGAAAACAAAATAAAATTAAAAAAAAAAAAATCACAGCAGCATGGGATAGAGAGGGGCCCAGGGGAGATCCCAAAATGTACAAGAGGGCCAACAGGGCCCCGAGGGTCTGCGACTCACCACAGCTGTTGCTCTCAGCGCTGCCAAGAAAAATTTGCCAATTCAGACCCTTCTTTCTCCTTTTCTCCCCCCTCCCTCTTCTGGAGCTGCAGTCTCTCGGCTGTCCTCCAACTCAAAGAACACGCAGGTGTCTCTCGGCTCTTACAAGACGCGGCTTCCTGCACACGTGGCCTCGCTCGCTCGCTGCGCGGCCGTACCGCGCTCTGGGTGACGCGCACAGACCCTGGGCGCACGCTGGCGGTCTGGCCCTGCGAACTGTGCAGAGGGCTCCTTCCTCACCCAGAGAGACAGGCTCTCTCTTCCTGCAGTGGAAGGCAGCTGCTGCCCACATGCCCTTGATTTTCTTCTTTCCCTTTCTCAGGCCTCTCCAGCTTCAGCTGTGGCAGCTCCTGTCCACAGCCAGAAAACGTCCCAGGGGCCTGTCCCTTTTCACCTCTCTGCTGGGAGGAGCACAAGGCCAGGCAGAGACACCCCACACAGTTCTGAAGTGGGTCCAGTCAACAGCATCCCCAGGGAAGGAACAGGCAAGCACGGCCCCGGCGAGGCCTCTGGGAGAAGATGAAGCAACTGCTGTTATTACCACAGATCCCCCTGGCCGGAGCCCTCCTTCCACAGGGGCTCCTGCAGAGGCACCAAGGGCCAGCTTGCCGCCATCCCCGCGGGGCTTGGGGTGACCTGGGGCTACGGGACAGGCTCCAGGGTGAGGTGCAAGAGCTGGGGCCAGGACACGGTGCGGGCGAGGCCAGTACCAGCTCAAGGGCAGCTCTGGCAAGCTGGGGAGGCACCCAGCACCAACCCCCGGGGGACACCCATCTTCTTCCCCTCCTCCTCACAAGCGGTGCAGCTGCCTGGAAGCCAAGTCTGCAGAACCTGCAGCTCCTGGCACACACTGGCCAACGAAGCACGGCCGCCTGCACACCAAGGGCTGTAAGACCACGCATCCCAGTGTGACCCAGGGAACCAACATGGCTGGCCAGAAACCGCACACACCAGGACTACAGCTCCCGCTGTGTTGCGAGAAGCAGTTTTCTCTGCTTTCTGACCCTGCAGGGACACCAGGGCTCACTCCTCTGAACCCCCACCAATGCACCCAGAAGCCTCAATACTGGCTGGGGGCAGCCCCTGCCACCAGCTCCAACACTGATCAGCAACGCCGAGCAGTGCCACCCTGCAGGCACCGCCACCCTCCCCACGAGCTCCTTCCCCAGGAGCTGCCAGCTGATTGCACGGCTCCACTCACCTTCTCCCTTGGTGCAGCCACGGCCCAGCAATGCTCAGCGACCGCTCTGCTCCTCCCTTGGTTGACACCAACCCCTCCAACGGCTGCCTTGCTCTTAAGAGCAGCACACACCCGTCCACCCGGAGCAACCCTTTACAGGGAGGGGCCACTGCCATCAGCCTCACTGCCCACACCTGGGGCCCCTCCAGCCCCAGCCCACAGCTGGAGGCCATCACCCACCCCCACAGAGCATCATCACCCCTCCCAGCCCCTCACCTGGGGCAAAGGAAGCACAAAAGGCAGCCAGCAAGTGTTTATTCAGTCACACACAGACCAAGTCCCAGAAGGGAGTGAGTCTGCTCTGGGGCTCAGGGCCCCTAATGCTGCCCTTGGCACACCTTGGCACTTGTTCCAGGTCACGCTCCTCAGTCCAGTCAGGAACAGTCAGTCGGTTCCTGGAGCAACAAGCTGCTGGGCAGAGCTGAAAACTGCCAAACATGAGGAGCAAGATGCAGGACAGAAGGCGGCGGCTGGCTGACCAGTACAGGGGTAGAGAGAAAACAAGAGGTGAGCAACAGGGTGGTGAGAGGATGGGGACTGGGAGCCCAACATGGATATGGAGGAAAAAAAAGCAGCAGGGAGAGAAGAAAAGAGGCAGCAGAAAGAGGAAGAAGGAGCAGGACAGAAACCAACAAAAACAGATGAGGAGCAGCATAGAGATGCAGAAAAAAAAAATTGGGATGGGTGGCACAACAGACACAGAGTGAAAAAAAGTGGGGGGAGCAGGGAGCTAGACCAAGCAAGATGCAAGAAAGACAAAAAAGCTACAAAGAACAGGGCACAGAGGGAGGAAAAAGCAACAGCAATGGGGAGTCAGGACAGCAAACGATGGAGGGGAAAGGGCGGGAAAAGAACACAAAACAAATCACATAGCTACATGTGACAGGGCAGACAAGGAAGAACTGGGAAACAGGGACAGAAACACAGGAAAAAGAGACCTGGAGCCAAAAACTAATCCTGATGCATACAGAAGAAGAGGGGGGTATTCTAAAACACAGGAATCAGAGATAGAGAGATGGAGAAAACACAAAAGCAACAGACTACAAGGCATCAAGAGAGGAATTACTGAATAGTCACAGAGCGCCAGCCAGGAACAGGCCACAAAACAGAAAAGATCACAGCGGGTATGGGGCACAGAGGAAGGAATTCACAAACCCGGGACAAGGAGCCAGAGATAGAGGGAAAAATTAAATTCCTGGGTGGGGGTCGTATAGATGAAGTATCTCTTCTTCCTTGCCGATGAACTTTTCACCCTGTCCTTCTGTGCAGTTTCAGTTGTTCCCTGGCCAACCTGCCAGGCCAGTTTGTGCTGGAATTTAGGGTAATTTATTGCTGGTACATACACTTTAAATGACCAGAGGAGGCCTCTGTTCAGGCCAGAAGATAGTAGCCTAGCAACTCTGTCAGTATCCAGCATGTCTATGCACACAGCCCCCAGCCTTGCACAGGCCTGAAGTTTGATCTCACTGCATCCCCTAAACTTCCCCTATCAAGGGTGAGGTGAACAGGGTGGAGGACGGGGACAGGGAGATACACAATGAGGGGGGTGGGCATCAGTGAGCGAGACAGAGAGAAGTGGAGAAGGGGCAAGGGCAATAGGCAGTCGGGGACACATAGTGGCACATGCAGGCACAGAGAGGAAAAGAACATGTGGGAACCAGCAAGAGAAGTTATGGGAGAAAAGGGACTGATGCCAATCAGGACAAAGAACTGGAAAAGGAAAAAACCAGCGCTAGCCTGCAGGAGAGAGACAGAAAATGAAAAAAAAGGAAAGAGAGCAGGACAATAGCATAGAGAGAAAAAGAAAAAGGTAGAGCCAGAAGAAGAGAGAGAAAGAGGGAGGGAGCAGGACAGAAGAGAGAGGAGAGCAGAGGCAAAGGGGAAAAAAAAAATCACATCAGTGTGGGACAGAGAGGACAACAGGGCAGGGCCCCGTGGTCCCAGGACTCACCACAGCTCTCACTCTCAGTGCTGCCTCGGAAATTTACCCCTTCAGACCCTTCTTTCTCCATCTCTCCTCTCTTCCTCTTCCCTAGCTCCAGTCCTCCTCCCAAAAGAATACGCGGGTGTCTCTTTACCTCTTTATGTAAGCATGGCTTACCCACTCTGGTCAGGGAGAGCACTCACGGCGTCCCCGATCAAAAGGTCGCTGCGTGCTGGCATCCAGCAAGCAGGGTCTCCCCACCAAGAGTCAGCACGTCAACCTGGGCAAGGCATTACAGCCGTACATCCCATCTGGGACGCCAAAACACAGTTATCTGCAAAGAGGATTCGTGCCCAGCGGGCAATAAACCAATCTTAACATGCTCAGGAGAGAGAGCATATTTATTCAAGCCTGGTTGCTTGGTGGACTTTTCCACAAACCTAGTACACCAATGGCAGGTTTTCATGCTGCTTTTACACACCGAAATCAGAGGTTAGTGCTTTTCCAAACACACCTATTAGATATTGATTGCTAATGATTAACGTACATTTATAATAGGGCTTATGTAATGCTTCTATGACTACACATGCTCAGGGAAAGGCTCTTAACCTGTTCAGGGTTTTCAGTCTTATAACGAAGGTAGTTCACTGTCAGGACACTCAAAAGTTAGTTTCATTGTCAAGTTAATTGATTAGTCAACCTTTTGCCAGGTTGTTAAATAACTCATCCTCAGAAGTGCAGAGAGAAAAAGAAAAGGGAGCAGCAGGACAAGAGACAGAAAGTGAGAGAGGAAGGGGGAGCAAGACGGAAGAATAGAAAGAAGAGGTATAGAGAAGAAAAATAAAATAAAATCACAGCATGGGAAAAAGAGGGGCAGGAAGGGACTAGGACACACAAGGGGGGCGACAGGGCCCCGAAGGCCCGGGACTCACCGCAGCTCTCGCTCCCGGCACTGCTGGGAGAATGGGTTAGGCCAGATGCTTCTTTCTCCTTCCTTCCTCCTGCCCCTCCTCTTCTTGGGAAACCCCCACCCCGGCTGCCCCCCCGGACAGAACCGCGCCCCCAGACGGCGGCGCCCC